ATATTATTGTGCCATATATTTGATCCTCTGCTTCCCAGGTGAAAGTTACCCAGAGCACTGCAGGGCACTCGCAGCCCCAGCTGATTAAGACACTGCATAAGGGAGATTACTTTGGGGAAAAGGCTCTGATTAGGTGAGTTGATGCTGCCGGATTCATGTTGTGCAGTGTTTGAACTGACCTGTCAAGGTGGGTCTCATTGTACAGATCGCAACTGCTTGGAATATAAATTTTGGGTTGATTGTCAAGATTCCAAACAGAGGAAAACAGCAGAAAAAGGGAATGGGGTGAGAGCCATGTGGCTTCTTCCAAAAATATGTATCCAGGCTTTCCTGGTATATCCAAATGCCTTAATTTATTTTCCCTATACTTTAGCAGATGTTGCATCTGGACTCTAGATAATTTTTACCTATACAGCACCATGCCAAGGTTTGGATTGCAGTAGTTCAGTTCTGGTTTTTGAAGTGGAGGAGGCTTTTACTGCTCCAATCTAGACGATAGTTTTGCCTAGGAAAATTGCTGTGAGCACTGATTTGATTTTAAACCTGTGACAGATAGTGCTTGCAAGGATTAAATAAAAGCAACTGTTTATGCAGAGGGGAACATTCCTGTGCTCATTAGCTTAAGCATTCCCTTTCTTTAATTTATTTTCTTTGTGTATTTGTTGTCTCTCAGGAGCCTCAGAAATGTTTACAGGATTCATATCTCATAGGTTATCTTGTTTGAGGAAACAAAAAAGTCTATCTTTCTTTTTTAGCAACCAACCAGACAGGTAAATTCACCCAGGACATAAATATTTTACAGTAAGCTTTCTTTATCCCTTCTCACAACTAAAAGGATGGAAAATATGAATAATGAACAACGAGATCTGAAATACATATTGACATATTGACAGTCACTAGAAAGTTGAACAACAGAAAGAGAACTAGATGCTAGATGATAATAATGACTCTTACTGAAATGCTGGGGTTGTGGATTTGGTTTGGCAGTGCTTATCCAAGCACAGGCTGCGGAGGCCTTCCAGGAGTTCTACCTCCATCAAAAGTGACCCTTCTTGGGTACAGTGTGGGATGCTCCCAGGATTTCTATGTGCTTCTACGTTCTTTCTAATCTGTTTCATTTTCCAGTGATGATGTCAGATCAGCCAACATTATCGCCGATGAAAATGATGTGGAGTGCCTCATTATAGACAGAGAGTAAGTACCACATTATGGGTTAATGAAAGATCCATCACCTGTCTCAGTAGGTCATCAGCAAGATGTGGCTTCAGAGTCACAGTGGTGTCACTTAACCACAGGTTTTCTCTTAAGTGAATGCTGAGCAAGTGCTCCACTGTGGTTATGCCTCAAAGCTCTTGCAAGTGGCATCATCAAAGTCATAGTGTAAAGCTCAGCCTGGGTCAGTGCATTTTGGTTGCTTCTCTTTCCACCATGTGGACAGTAGTATATACTATTTCATTCATGTTTTAGGACATTCAATCAAACTGTTGGAACCTTTGAAGAGCTCCAAACCTACCTTGAGGGTTATGTGGCTAACCTGGCCCGTGCTGATGAAAAGCGACATGCCAAGTAAGTCTAATCTCTTGTTAGACATATCTTTATTAAGTGATCGTAAAACTGAGCGTTAGATGTGCTAGAAACGTCATGATGGTAGCTAGAAATTAGATGTGCTAGAAACGTCATGGATGGTAGCTAGAAACGTCATGATGGTAGCTAGAAATGTCATGGATGGTAGCTGGTGGAGATGGGGCCTGAGGAGTAACACCAGTCACTATAATAAAACTGTGTTCATGTGCTTATTGAGTCAAAGGAACTTTCTGTTTTGAAACAAAAATTTTAGAGAATCTCAATATATTGACTTCCAATACACAGATCAAGCTGTATTTATATACATAGCTAAAGAAGAGAGCACTTAATGGATCATTTTTGTGACGAAAAAACCCCAGTGTTATGTGTCCACCGTAATTCTCAGTCACCAGAAGACTGATGCTTAGATACTTGTTTGAAATTGTAGATGTTATTTTTAAAATCCCAGTTCTTCATATGTCAAAGATGTTAAAAAGGAAAATACTAAAAATGTTATGGTAGTCAATGTTTTTCAAATATTGAGGGAGGCATTTCTATTATAAACTGGCATTTTATGTTAAAAAAGCATTTCAAATGACCTTTTAAAAAGTATTTCCATGAAAATTTGATTTTTTTAGCAGCTCTGTCTGCTTTCAGCAAGACCTAGATAACTTCAGTAAGCAGCCATTATTTAGTGTTTAAAATACATTGTTAATAAAATAGATAATGTTAATAGACAACATTACTGATTATACTATTTTGTTTTAGAGATGATGTGATTTATCATGAGCATAGGAAGTTGCAACTCCATTATAATCAGTGCCAGAAAACAATATTTTATCATTTTATACTTGTTGGATGACACCTGGTAGAAAACTCTGGGGTCTTTTCTACCTCTTTTTCCCTCTTAAAAAACAAGCAAAGAAACAAAAGAAAACTGACAGAGCGAAATGTTATGTTGCAAAGATTTTATCTGCTCAAAATTTAAATACTAAAATTCTGCTGTCCGAATAATTCATATGCATTTATTAGAAATGAAATGAAGCTTGTTTTTACACTCTATCAAAAGAAAACTAAAGACTGAAAGAAATGCAAGTGTGCTCAAGTGATGTAGTTATCATTTGTATTCTCATGGTAAATTCTTCTACTGAGAAAACTTCTGAAGTTCACCATAGGAGATAATAAAACCAGATTACTGGATTAAGAGGGAAATTGCCATTTCAAATGGAAGTACTCAGACATAAAAGAAAATTATTTTTTTAATGTGTCTGTGTGGCAATGGTGCTATTAAAGGGTTTGTTTTTAGCTGTGGACTCTACCTGTAGCTTATCCATATCTGATTTCAACCTCGGCACCATTGGAAGATTAACAGAAGATATTTTACTTCTGAACCAAAAGACAGCTGCACACAGCTACACAGTCCTTCAGAAACTCATTTTCCAACTTGGAATGCCCCAAGTTTGTAAGATGACTGTATAATTATGAACCTCATCATGGATCAGCTCTTGGTAAAAATACCATTTTTTGTAGTTGGTGAACATTAATAGCAGTTCATTTGTAACTTACTGGTAAAGCATGTCCAGAAAGAAAATACTTTTTCATGGGATAAAGATCCATGGAATTTCAAGGTCCTGATAAAGAATGAGAAGCCTTTTCTCTTCTTTCTTTACAGGGGTATTAAGAGTCCTGTGATCCAGCTTGTTCACAGGGGAAAAAAAATCCTTTTTTTTCTTTTTTTTAAACTCAGAAGAAGATCCCTCTGTGGACAGCTGACCAGAGAAGTCTCTTTGGAGATGATACAGCTGAAGGAGAAAGTAGCCCAATTCCCTGCTTCCCCATTCCAGAATTTGGAAGTTGTCACAACTCTGGGCGTTGGTGGGTTCGGAAGGGTTGAGCTTGTAAGAGTTTGTTTTAAACATATGCAAGTAGTTCTCAATCTTATATAATCAATTAAAATGAAATATTTGGGGGATTTTAACATTTAATCTGCATGCTTATGTCTCTAAGATAGAGATAATTCCATATACAGCAATGTGTAGTCAATGTTTTCACAACTTTGACCTTCTAGGAAACAAATCCAGTCCCTTGCGCTTTCATTTCTTGCTGCTGCAAATATCTTTCTGGCTGATAGACTTATTCATCCTTTTTTTGTTTGGTTGGTTTTTCTTTATTTGCTTGGACCCAAAGTGTTTTCCAGGGCCACATATTGACGTATTGTTCACTGTTAAAATCGCCGCGGAGGACCCACAGCAGCTGTAACCAGCGTGATCTGGCTCTGAGCTGTGGTCGCTTAGACATCTTCAGCTACTTGTAATGGCCCTACTGAGCCATTCCTTGTGTTTGTGGCATGGGAAGAGCTTCGTTAAAGTTTTAAACTCCAGGCTCCTTAGGCTCAGTAGGAAACATTTGGAAAAAAAATGTGAACGCTTTTCTCCAGGACACTGATGGCCTGGATTCCTTCCACTGATGGAAGTTGATGGGAAATCAATGGAGGCTAGGTGATTTCAGTGACCAGAGAAATCCTTAATAGTATTTAGATAAACTGTTGTTTTACTGCGATTCTTGCTTCATAAAGCAAATTAGAAATTTTCACAAACTGTTCCACACTGAATGGCAGCCACTGTGAGAATTCTGCAATATCACCTGGAAAATAAAATGCAAATAAAATTGCCAGACTGCTGTAAAACACTGATAGCTGTTTATTTGGTTTCCAGGAAGTCAAACCTTTTTATTGCATCTTGTATAACATTTTAGTGTAATGTGAAGTTATTCATAAGCATTCATCATAAACTCCTCTACTTTTATTATGTTAGTGTTTAGAAAGCTTTATTGAAATTAGGACCGAATGTGCTATAAACTAATTGTAAAATACAGTACCAATGTAAACTGCCAATGCTTTGTGTGCATAAAATGGGTAAAGGGAAGAATTCTCTTCATTTTACAAGTGGGGATGTATACATAAAGGTGCCTGGTTTAGAATCATGCAGAATGTGTCTGCAGAAAATCTGGAACTTATCCATAGTTACAGTCATCAATTGCAATCCTGTGCTGTATCCAAAGTGATTATTTTTGTTTTAAGAGCAAGTTGGTAGAACTTTCTTCTTTTCCTTCACTTACGCTTATCATTTTTATTCACAGGTTAAAGTGAAAAATGAGAACGTAGCTTTTGCTATGAAATGTATAAAGAAGAAACATGTTGTGGACACCAAACAACAAGAACATGTCTACTCCGAAAAGAAAATCCTCGAAGAGATATGTTCTCCATTCATTGTGAAGTGAGTTGACCTTAAGATTTCCTTAAAAGCTGATGTACTTGACAGCATTAGGGGTTTGACATGCACAAATTCTTGAGCAAAGACACTGCGAGTCTTGCATTTTATTTTGCTTCTCAGAAATTGCTGCTGTTTGTCTCCACAGACTGTACCGCACATTCAAGGACAGCAAGTACGTGTACATGCTCCTGGAGGCCTGCCTTGGAGGGGAGCTGTGGAGCTTGCTGAGAGACAGGTAACAACAAATGAAGTGGACCTCGTCCTTTAAAATATGCAGTCAGCTGCCTGTGCCTCTTGAATAGCTTCTCTGTCTAACTGCATTGGAACAGGTCGGCTACAGAGTCTGGTATTGAGAAAGGATCAGGTTTTCTGAATACCTCTGATACCTCTTCTGCTGGGTTCACGGAAGGGCCAGTACATTCCAGAAAACTTGGCAGTCCCACTCCATTCACCTTCCCAGCAGTTCAAACATGGGAGATGAGAAAAGAGGTCTTTGGAGCGTTTGAACATTCATACAGGCCACTTTCCCCCGAGCTGGCTTGAGCCAACGCTAACATGTTTTCCCTAACTGTGCCTGGATTTGCAATGTTGGAGGGCTTTTAGCAGAGTAGTCCATTAGGGCATGTGTTGCAAGCTGAGAACAGGTTCGTGTGAGTGTTGAGCTGCCTGGAGGACATAGTTTCCCATAGCCCCGTTTATGTAGGTAAAGGAAATTCCATTTGCCTCTAGTGATGCTAATGCTCCTCTGCCTGGGGTTGCTGCTGCCCACACGCTAGTTCATGATCTCAGCGGGTAGCATAGACAAAATGCTATACAAATCTGAATTGCAGATGCAAAAAGAGAGGGGACTGGAGGTTTTGGGGCATGGGCAAAGTTACTTCTGAAGTGAGGCCTTTTGTAATCAGTTAACTTGCAGTTGGGCAGCCTTTTCCTGCTGAGAACCATGACATGTACTGCTGCTGTAAGAATATTTTGCTGTTTGTTGTGAAGAGTCAGTGATGATCCTAAGAGCCACCTACAAAGAGAAAACACTGAAAGTAGACAGTCTGTCCGAGGGAGGAGGAAGCATCTCCTAGCTACCCAGGAAATCCCTGCTCTAACTTGAAGTGTCATGGGATATTTGGTAGCTGCACAGGACAAGCAAGACATTTACCTACATGCGCTTGTCTAAAAATGCAATCTGGAAGTGCTTTCCATAGAATAGAAACTACTCTTAAGTGGAAGAAGCACCTACTGTTTTCCCTTTTGCTGTCACTATAATCAGGTTTTCATTAGTGCACACAGCAGGAGGTGCACGTGATGCAACTTTTCCTTCCCTTGCACGTTTGATGAAAACACGAGCAAAGTTTCCTCACAAACCTTGATTGCTCTGCAGGGATATTACTTTCTGAAAGGCAAAGAGGTGAGATTATGACCCTGATACCCTCCACGCCAGGGCTTGTTATAGAGCCATATGTGCCTCCTAATGCACAGCCCATTTGTGCAAGCACACACATGTAGACACTGCAGAGAAGTTAGCAGAGATCGTTCCTCCTGGTTGTTTCCTTATATACAGAAAGATTGGAGTCTGCCAGGATGGGAAGAAACAATTTTGCAAGAAATGCTAATATAGTTTTGCTGAAGACTTTCTTCAGTTACTGTGGTACTGCTGTCCTAACACAATGCTTGATTTGTTATACACATGGAAGCGTTGTCCTTTGGACTGGATGGATGAGGAGTGAAGAACTTGTCCCTTTCTTGCAACACGAGGCATGTAAGGCAAATTTCTGCTTGCAAAGATGAGGGGACGTGCTCTGTAACACCACCTGGCATTTCAGTTGTTTGCAAAACTCCTCGTCCTCAATTTTATTTTAAATTATAACGTAGCTGGCTGTATGCTATCACCTAGTGGTTGCATTTTATTAATGAGCGAGGTTATTATGCACCTGCAGTGTGTCTGGAACTTTGGATTTTTCTGGAAGGAGAGATGCTTTATCAAAATAAAATAATATCACAAAAGTCAAAATGATTCAAAGGCTGTCCAATGAAATTACATTAGGCTCAATCTTTACATGAGTGACATACTGAATGTTAAAGCAAAAAAAAAGCTGTTAAAATTCTGCTTAATAGAAGAAGCTTTTTTAGACATTAATTCTGTCTACAAGAATGGTGATTATTTTTGTTTCAGAGGCAGCTTTGATGAATCCACTACTAAGTTCTGTGTTGGGTGTGTGACAGAGGCTTTTGACTACCTACATCATATAGGAATTATCTACAGAGACCTGAAGCCAGAAAATTTAATTTTGGATGCTGAAGGATATATAAAACTGGTAAGATATAATGCTTTCCTTTTGAATCTGTATCCTTGCAAGGAGATATAAATAGGCAACATGCACCAGGATCCTGGAGTTTAATAGGCCCCTCTCCTCAAAGGAAAAGAGGGCAAGGTACTGATTGCACAGTAAGCAACAAAGTCATTTCAAAGACGTTACAACCCCACAAATAACCTGGGCATTTGCAGCCTTCAAGAGCTTTCGCCATAGCATCTGCAGCAAAAGTAATTTCTCCCAGCAGCCAGTCTTAATACGAAGGCAAGAGATACATTTCCCCAGTGTGGAATTACCTCCATGTCCCGTCTTGAGCAATTTTAGGCTCTACAGTTTCTGTATTTAGGGAGCACAGAGAAGAGCCCCTGGCTCGCTTGGCTGTGACAATGAAAACCAAAAAGAGAATACCCTTGAGAGAGCTTGCAACACCCACGCTGAGGACAGTGAGCAACCTGCCCTTCTCCACGGGCTGCAAGTCCCGGGTCCTCGGAGAAAGCATGGGTTGTTTCATCCAAAAGGACGCTTGTTCAGGAAATTACCCATGAGAGCAAATGGGCCCGTTCTATAACATTCAGTAATCCAGTGGAATTGCTTCCTTCTGCTTTTCTCCTTCGCAATAATGCTGCATCATTGTCTTAACTGTAACGCTGGCAAGTCTGGGATCTCTGCAGGAGATGTGCAGACAAATTGTATGCTAAAGCTTCCCAATGCAGAGCACCACTGCATTCTGCAGCATATGTTGATTTTAAACAGGTTGATTTTGGATTTGCAAAGAAGATTGGATCAGGGCAGAAAACCTGGACGTTTTGTGGGACCCCTGAGTATGTTGCCCCTGAAGTCATTCTGAGCAAAGGCCATGACTTCAGTGTGGACTTTTGGTCCCTTGGGATTCTTGTGTATGAACTCCTTACTGGCAGGTGAGTGTCTCCCACTCCTAGTTCTTTCCTTGTATGTTTTAAGTTATTTTTAGAACAAGCATTTGGTCATTTTTCCCATCAAAACACAGGAATGACTTGCAAAATGATACTTCTTTTTGCTTCTTACCCATCCCTTATCTTCCTTCATTTGAGAAATGTCACAGACAACAGAACTGTGGGCCATATTCCCGATTTTGGTTTATCCATCCAAGAAAAGGGCCAGACCCCGGGTATATGTGGCTGGTGGGGAGCTTCTTGGCCTGTTCTTTTCTCCTCTAGTGGGTGAAGGGGTGTAGTGAGGCAGGTGGCTGTAAGTGGGGTTCATTCCTTGCCCCTGCACACACTCCCATGGTGACTCTTTGTGACTACCCCACACTAGTGCCATTTGGAAGCTTCTCTGAGTCAGGCTGCGGCCAGAGCTTGTTTAGACCAACACACATGATCATGCATTTTCCCTTGTACCCACGAGTAACCTCCCAACTCCAAACCTTAACCTAATATCTTAATACTGGCTATTATCTTAAACAGGCAAAATGCAGGCTGTAAACCTAGGGAAGGGCTGTTTTCTGTGTTCTCAAGTATTTGCTTTGGTGAGAAATGGCCAAATCTGCACTCAGTCACCATTCCATTTAACAGTATTGCTTTATTTTTCTAGTCCTCCATTCTCTGGAGCGGATCAAATGATGACCTATAATTTGATTCTCAAAGGCATTGAAAAACTGGATTTTCCTAAAATAATAACACGGCGGCCTGAGGATTTGATCCGCAGACTCTGCAGGTAGGTGAGGCAGTTTGTGGCAGAGTGTGGGAGTGGACAAATTGGGCTATTTAAGATCCAGATGAGAGTGATATGCTACTAACAACTCCACTGAGCATCATTTTGCTTAACATGATCTGTTCTGATTATATTTGGTATGTCTGCATGCCTCTGGGTAGTTGCACCTCTTAATCTGCAGAGGTATCATCTAAAAAAACAGATGCTGGGCTTTTTCCATGGGATGCTATGAATTTTTCTACAGTTTTCTGATTCCTGTCTTAGGGCAACTTCATTTAACCTGGACTCTGCAAGGGGCTGAAGAATTTAATTCTATTGATCAAGTGCAGTTTTGTAAAAAATGCTTCCAAAATTACTTAAGCAGCCAGAAAGGCATATGTGGTGATTCACTTTTCAGAAAATAAGAATATTTTCTTATTGCCTTTTTTTTTTTTTTTTTTTCACATTTTTAAGGCAAAACCCTACAGAGAGATTAGGCAATTTGAGGAATGGAATTAATGACATCAAGAAGCACAGGTAGGCGACACTTTCCCCAAAGCTCGGTTTGAAAATCTGGGGAGTTGAAAATAGTAAGGTTCCAGGTGCTTCAGATTGTGTAGTAGAGAAATGTCCATTACTGGCACTTCTCCTTGCTCCAACAGTGGGCAACAGTATAAACATAAATCCTCAGGATGTTCAGCCTGAAACATGGGTTGCTCACTGGTTTTATCATCAGTTGTTGATGTGGGAGTTTATTGCAGGTCTCAGAGAAATCAATACCATTTGGTTATCCATCCCGTTAGTCCTGAGGTTGTTTTGTCAGAAACCAAGCAGTTGCTGCCTAAGAACCACAGTTAAGAGCTCTAGAGCAATATCATGTCTCTGAAGTCCGGCTCATTTTACCTAACTTGTTTTGCTCTGTGCCTGTCTCTCAACTCTATAGTCTTCAAAAGCCACTGTCTTTACTTTGTTTTTACATGGCTGTCTCCTAGGAAGGAGGCTTCTCTGCTAAAATGTGTGATAGCCCTTGTTTGCATGTTTTTAAACTGTTAGTAACAGTGTTTCTAACAGTAAAGAGTCTGTCTCTCTCTGTCTTGCTCTCTCTTTCATTTCTTTTTAATTAGGTGGTTGAATGGTTTTAACTGGGATGGTCTGAAAGTGAGGAAATTAGCATCACCTTTAAAAAGAGAGGTACTGGCCTTTGGCTTTCAATGTCTTGATGCTTCACTGTTGCAAAGGAGCTGGGCAACAAAGACAGACCTGCTCCCCAGTGCAGAATTTCCCAAAGGAGCACTTGTGTTGTTAGTGTACCCTTATTAGTGGAAGTTGAAGGAGGGGAAGGGAAATGAAAGGAAAAGAGCAGTGTTAGCGATAGCAGCATCAACTGATAGATGCTTTAAATTCCATTGAAGAGTAGAAATATTATTCTGCCCGTGTGCTTAGCGTTAGATTTTCACCACGACTAAAATAAATAGTGTTTGATGAGAAATGAGCGGAGAAGTGCTCTGTTTTCTTGGGCAGTGAGCATGTTATTAAGATGCACTGTTCGCTGGCTGTGCAGAGTACAAATTCCTGTATTCTCATGATACTGAATTACAGCAGAGCCTTGAATAAGTTTCCTGCTTTAAACAGCCCATTTCTGCCTGACTTCAAATGATAAAAGATTGCGGGTGCAGAATTTGAAACTTGCTTAATAATAAATAATAATTCTGAAGTCTTCTCTGAGTGGCTACTCCGTAATGGTAGATGCCATCCTACATGAATTTGACTTGAAAATGTATTCATTGTGGCCTGGTCTTCTTAGCAACTTCTGTAGGCTTTGGTTGAGATTTAGTGTTTAGACAAGTCTGGAGAGTGTTTTCCTACAAGGAGACAAGCATCTTTGTTCTATTGTCAAGCTCATTTTTTAGAGTTTTAGCTTTTAAAGAACGATGAAACGCATCCATTGAAAGAAGTCGTTGCCTTTCGTTCCTCCACTGGCAGCAATAAAATGTGATGCAAAATTAACGGAGAGTATTTTCTGAAGTTACTCCTGAAACAGCCTTTCGTTGTGTTTTTAATGCCCTAGCTGACTGGACCGACCGACTACAGCTACTTTGACTGCTATCCGCCTGAAGAGGGAACCCCTCCGGATGAATTTTCAGGCTGGGACAAGGATTTCTGAGAATTTTTCTTCCAGGACTTTTACAGAGACTCGGAGGTATCAATTTTAAACCCATTCACTTGTTTCCTGAGTAAAATTAAAGGCCACAAGGTTTTGTGACAAACATGATGTTCCCCGGAGAATAGAAGACAACACAGCAAGCAGAACTTGCTTGGATAATGCACCAAAATCTGGGCGCATCTTTTATAATAAGGGCATCCATTCAGTGAGCAGATACAACCTGTATATTTTTTAATACAAAATGCCTCTTTGGACACGTTCTGATACTATAGATTGGATGTATAGTTTTGCCATTGAAAGTACCACTAGCTAAAGTTTTGCTATTAGCAAGCTTACCGAATTTCTTTATCTTGAATGAAAAAGATAAATATTAAAAGATAGTAACTTTGGGGCGTTTGTCAACAGCTGACACTATAGACATTTATTTTTGCTTTTTATTATGTCTACTGTCTTTTGCTTTTTCCAGCAATAGCCAGTGGGGTATCAGTCCAGCAACATGCAGGAAAGAGAGTTTTTTTTCTAAAAGATCGATTTGCTTTGATGCTTGCAGCTCAAAGGGCATCACTGTGGAAACAGCCTCTCTGCCAGTCTAGTTTTGCACCAGATCGAATGTGTGGAACAGACTGGGATGGGTCAAATGAAAATCCAAAAAGAAACAGAACTGAAAGAAGAAAAATCCAGAAAGAAACAAATTCTATACATTAGATAAGCTGACTTGAGAAGCAGACTGTGGTATGCATTTCCCTAACTACTTCTAAGAGCTATATTCATTTTTCAGTGCTTTTAATGCTTTGCTTTTATAAAGCTGAAGACAGCCAAAAGCCCTTTGCCCTGCAGGAAAAGAGTATAGAATCCTATTTTTTTCCTTTCAGTATATTTTCAGAATGTTTTAATTGATATATAGGCAGAAAATTTTGTGCTGAAGTCCTAGATCTGTTCACATCTGTGGTAAAACTCCCATTTTAATGTCCCATCTTATATGACTAGGTGGGAACAACCATGTCAAATAATATTTCATTATGCATCTTATTAATCTGTTCTGAATGCCACTAGCATAGGAGAGCATAAAAAAGCAAAAACTTGATTTTTTTCCTCTTGCAGAGAATTCTGATCACTGAGCAGTTTAACTATTGTTTGCTTCTGAGCGTGTTTCCTCTCTAAAATAGCTGCTTGTATGATTTAGAAAGAAATTCTGCTCCTCTGTCCAAAATAATGTATAAAATAATACAGTTTTGCTTTCTACCCCAATTTTTTCAACCTCACACATCACTCACTTTGGCATGAGAAAAGAAACTGCTAATCTGAACCATCTTAACAACCAGAGCAAGGGAGTCCAGTAAAGAGGCAGCAAGAGGGTCTGGAGCGCTGAGGGAGCTGCGCTTGTTTAGCCCGGAGAACAGAAGGCTTTGGGGACACCTAACAGAAAATTGCTATTCCGCAATTCTCTGTTTCGGAGAAAGAAATTGTAACTGTAAGCCTTTTATGTAATTAAAATATATCTCAACACACTTTCCCGCCCAGTTGTATCTGTGCCCGATTTTTGCCACTTCAACTTTTAAACTGTTGGAACAGGGAAATAATTTGAAACACTTGAGTGGACAATAAATGGTGTTGGACGTGGGGCCTTCATGGTTTAAACAGGAAAACTCTTCTGCTCTGTGTTATGAGCCCCATCTGCTGTGGAGACATTCCCGATGGCCACACTGGGGTCATGGGATCGATGCATCCATAACGCCTGCTCGGATTTGAACTTAGCTTCCACTGAGACAATTTCTGATGTAAAATCCTTTAGGCACTGAAGCCCACTGCATTTCACATGCTGGATGGGAAACCTTCGGGATTTATGTAATGTGTGCTCAGTGTTTGGATACCCACGGACTGCTGGTGAGGTGCTGGTCAGGACTCATCAGAATATACAGCAGTAAAACAGGAATTTGATGCAGTTCCTGGCAAAAGACTGGCAAAATGTTCCATTAAGATAATGATAAAGATATTCTTTAACTGTTTTGATATGCTCTGTGGGCTAATTGATTTGTACCACTTTTTTTTTACTGCTGAGTGGTCATCCCTTTGACTGCAAATCAATTTTTGACATTTTAAATTTTGTACGACATTCAGTCCAGTAAGGGCAGTAAAAGATTTTTCCATTGAATTTAATGACAACTGCATTGAGCCTGGGAGGAAGACGCTAGTGAGTTTTAGTTTCCCTGCCTGGTTGTAAACTATTTTGGAAACATGCAGCCAGCAAAGGCTGTGCCGAGTGGTAGTAAGGTGGTCTCTCCCTTTATTCGAATAAAGTTTTAGGACTCCTCTGTCTCCTTTTTGGACATTCAGTTCTTGACAGCGAGATTTTCCACACAGTAACCATACACAGTCCAGGGGGGTTGTGCAGAGGCTGGAAGCTGGGGCTCATAGGTGTTTTAGGCACTTGCAGCTAATACCATTTAGTAATAACAAAGAGCAGATTTTCTCTTCAGGATTTAGACAAGCACTAGACATTCTGTCCGTGTGTTAGTTTCTCTCTCTCAAATCTTTTGATTTTGGTCAAGTTACATAGTCAAGCTTTGAAACCTAACTTTTATAAAACATTTTTGAATGGCTTTTCAATTCTATTTACCAGTACTTTTCCTACGTATGTTTTTCCTACGTAGGTTTTTAAGTGAAGAAATAGCAGTATGATGCATTTACTGCAGTTAGCATTTAGTTCAGTGTAACTGCAGAGTACCCATTCAAAGCAATCGTATGCCTTGCTTAACTTGAAAATAAAACAAGTTTACAGACCAGTGGGCAGTGCGTTCACTTTTTACAAAGGCATCCCATACACCAGTGCAGATTCTTGCCTCTGGATTGTATTTCTTGTCCATAAGATGCAGAAGAGACTGAGATAGAAAAGAAGGCCATCATGGGGGAAGAGCCACTGATGTTATTTCTTGCAGCATGTGCCCAACTCACGCTGTGTGTTCCCCAATGGGTGCTGAGAAAATGAATGTATAAGAATAATTAAGGTGACAAATAATGCTGTATTTATGCAGAGGGCCCACGTACCTCTGATTCATTTTATTTCTGGGCTGTGTGCAAGTGACTGAGTTGAAGATTGCCACATGCTGACATAATAGAGCCCAAGCATTCCTTGGATGAACAAAAATAGCCTTTAACATAATGTTGCCTTCACACTGCCTTGCCTGGGCCCTCCCCGGGCTTCTCTTTCTGGGCCTGTCACTGTCTCGTTCCTGTCCCTCTCTCCTCTCTCAGGGCTTCTTCTACTCCCCTTCTCCTCTTCCCCAGTCTGTCCCTGGCTGCCCGTTGCCCGTTCCCGCTTTCTCTCGCTCTTTTTCCTCAGCTGTCCTCCCGTATCCCGCCCTTGCCCGCTTCTCCGACCCGCCCTCTCCCTGTTGCCGCTTCCCGTCTCTTTCCCGCCCTTTGCCCCTCCTGGCAGTGCCCGCAGTGGCCGCCAGGCG